ACCCAATGATTGGTGGGTGAGACGGTGTGGCGATGGTGGCACGCGCCTGCGTGTTCGATAGAAAATCCCCGCGGAAGCGAATATCACAGAACTACTGGCGACCCCTTTCAAATTACACATTTTTCATCCGCTAATCGTCAACGCAGCCTTAAAAAGAAAAACAAACAAACAAACATATACTTGGAGATGTGTCTTCATGCGAAGAAGTACCATTGCCTGAAACGTCACCAACTAGATATATTTCTTCGAACACCGCAGTGTTGTTGACTAATGTGTTGTGATTATTCTTATTTGTGCTTTATGGGCCACTGCCAACGTAGCGGCATAAATAAAATAATGCATCGCGACCACTAGGAGGTGCTGCTCTTTTCCCAATGCCGCGCTGCACATTTTCAATTTTACGGCAGCGAAACTGATTAATTATGTCTACTGTATACGGTGTATATTTTATTATTTAAGTCTACTGACTCGCTTACACGCAAGAACACGCGTGCCAAAAGCAGGACGTCACAGAATGTCATTACCACTAATTACTTAAGCGCTTTTGTTTAACCGGTTACCCGTGAGAAAAAAACAAAACACACACCAAGTCAACGTCTATCCATCCAATGGACATCTCAAAACACCAGCAATTGTTACTTTCATGTGTGTGCTGAACAGCTGCGTGAGCTATCAACAGCCGTCGCCCCATATCGTAAACTCCCGCAGTCTGCCTGCGTAGCCTTCAACGGAGGGACCGCACAACGACACGGACACTCCTCTACCAATGCCCTCTCGTCCTGGCCAGCAAAAACCTCGACATTGGGCATTTAGCTCCCGAGCACATTGCTGCTGCCGTACGCAAGCAAAATAAGTATCTGTTACACCCTCCCCTTGTCCCTCCCCCCCAATATTATCTCCCTATCTTATCTATCTAGCCCCACACCCCCTCATGTGCCACTCTCCACATCCATTTGGCTTCATGTCGGCCTCGTGATAATGCACCTAATGTCTACAGACCTATTCATCGGATTCTGTGAATACTTATATAGGGCACCATAATAGAGGATTAGTATGGAAAAGGCGTACCGCGTCGTCGAGTTGTAGTGCCTTAGGCCGATAAATCCCTACACCCAAGCCAGCCAGGCAGTGTCCCGGAATGTATCGGGTGAGAAATTAAGCCCCCGAGTGTTTAGAGAACGGCACGTGGAAGGGGATGTCGCAGAACCACTGCCAGACCACGAACCAATTGAGCATCTCGGTACGCTTGACTTGCGCTCGTCTCGTGGTCAGTGCGCCTTACGCTGCTGCTACAAGTCCCGCAAAGTATCGAGTGAGAAATTGAAACCCCGCGTGCGACCCCCCCAACCCACCCACCTCCCTGTAGCACGAGAGGAAGAGCGGTGGTGATCGCAAGGATCCGCAGCCAGGGGCTGGTCACTTTAAGATGTTTTTTTTTTATTCTTCGTGTTTTTGTTTTTCATGTTTGTTGCGGGTTGCACCCGATTCAAGAGCCGAATGGCTCACAGGGCTATACCAAAATAAATGGAACTATGAAATGGCTGTCCGTGCGGTTGCTTGTGCCACCGCACGGCAGCAAGTCTCGTGGTGGAAGGGCGAATCGTTGGAAGCGGGTGAAGCTGGGCTGGCACAAGCGCTGCGATAGCCCTCGCAGGAGAAGCCCGGATCGACCGGCGAGCCCCGCCATGCACCTGCACAACAAATGTTTTGACGCCTCCTTATTTGTTTGCGAAACTCCCCCCCCCCCTCCCACCACTCCCAACCTTAGGGAGACTAAGGACCCCCCCTCTCTCCCACACCCCCAACCCCGCTGCAACATTCCCCCAGTGGTGAGACAAATCTAATAACGGATGAGCCAAGTTCCGATTGCTCGGCGCACCTCCGGCATAATCCGACACAGAAGATTCCTGGCTGCCCTCCTCAAACCCCTCCCCCCCCCCCTACATCGCATCCCTGGCACACGAATGATGGCAGCGCTGGCTGACGGGGGATACCTGATGATGCTAATGATGATGCTAATGATGATGGTAATGATGATGCTAATGATGATAATAATGATGGTAATGATGATGTTGTTGCACACATGTTAAATTGGGCATCCGACTGGACATCTGTGACCAACTGGATACCTGTGGAAAAGAGCTTTACAGCTCATCGGATTCCTCCAGTATGAATACAATATTCTGATTGTGACCAGTTAAAACAACAACAACTGTTGTCACCCAGAACAAAACCGTGGGACAGATGACTCACAAGAGACAAGAAGGAGGAGGCGGAGGAGGAGGCGGAATCATCAAAGCGATGATTCACCACACCGCTACTCCTGCCACAATTATAAAGCTGCTGCTGCTGGAACGTCAACATCAGTCTCTCTACGAGTCGCTCGCTTTGATCGATCGTTCCACCACCATCACCAACAAGTGGCAGGGGGGGGGGGTGCAGCCAGGCAACAACGAAACTCAGGGCGGTGATGTCACCACAGCGCTTGTGTCAGGCGATGTCGACTTCGAGGTCACGTGAAGTGTTGACGTGCACGCATCACACACACCAAACAAACTAGAGACCAGCTCCCCCCTACCCCGTAAAGCCTTTTAGAGGCTGATCGGGCAAGTGCTGCTAGCGAGCACCTATTCAGCCCGGGATGTGGACAAGAGGCGGTAGGTAGCTAGCACCACGCCCGGCCGCCTTTGTCTCCCCCATGTGCTTATGCTTCCGCACCGCACCAGCTACCAATGTTTCAGGGCGGTTCGACCTCGGGGAGGCAGGGGGACCGGTGCAGATAATTATCTCTGAATTACTGTATTGGTCGTGAACGCGAATCGAACTCGAATCGCCGGGTTCGTAGCGCAGTGCGCTAACCACTGCGCCACCGCTCCCGACAAACCACTGTGCCGCAGTATATACACACACACACACAGTGTATACGCACACAGTAAAGTATGAGTTTTGATTCTAGTGTGCTGATCTTTGAAGGTGCATTGAAAAATGTTTGATACTCCTACTGATACTCCTGCTGTTATGGAGTGATTCATGCTGCCAGCTATGGCTGTAATGTTTGGTCGTGCATGTTATGTATATCATTTATTGTTAAATTCGAATCACAGTTCCTATGATGACTGTTACATTGTTTTTATAGCTTTATTTGGTGATTTCGAAAACGTTTTGGTTTAGCCATATTTGTTTGCTGTAGTACAGAGTTAGACTGATAACTTTAATCTAAATTGTCTTATGGTTGTTATTGTTTGACTTGCATCCCACTGGCATTTGTGTACACAGAGTTGATACGCGGTGCTTTTCTGGAAGACGTTGCTGTTTTTTTCCTGGATTTTTCTGTTTGCGCGATTCTGGAAGACTTTGCTGTTTTTTCCTGGATTTTTCTGTTTGCGCGTAGTCACTTTAAGATGTTTTCTTGTTCATTTTTTTGTTTGTTGCGGTTGCACCCGATTCAAGAGCCGAATGGCTCACAGGGCTATACCTAAAACTGAAACACAATACAGTCTTAAATAAGAATCCCACTCCTCCGTCTACATGATCTAAATGAGCTCAAGTTTCCCCCTGAAGCACGTGACATTTTTTGGGCACCCCCAACTCTGAATCCCTCCATTCACCCCACCCCCGGAGATAACAGAGACGCTGTTCTGCGCAGCGCCCTTCGTTCTGTTTGCTCCTTCCTCCTCTCTCCCTCTCATCAACACCTTTTTATTCCAGACATATTGGTCCTCCTCCCCCTCCTCCTCCCTCCCTCCTCCTCCCTCCTCCTCCCTCTTCCTCCCTCCTCATCCCTCCTCCTCCTCTCCCCTCCCTCCTCATCCCTCCTCTCCTGCTTACCCGGCGCTCCTTCTTTCTTCCCGGTGGTCATCCTGGAGCCGTGTCTTTTTTCGTTGTTCTTGACGACTTCCGTCCGGGGATCACTTCCTTCCCTTTGCCGGTCATCTTGGCCCCCTGTCTGCTGCCATTCATTCCCGTTTGGTTGCCCCCGTAACTTTTCCACCATTTCCCTCTTCATCCCCATTCTTTCTCTCCTCTCTTCCCTTTCCCCCTTAGTTTTCAATTATTTTCCCATTCATTACATCATTGACTCTTCTCCCCTCTGTGTTGTGCGCCACGGGTGCACACCGTACACAGTTGTATAATTATCAATCTCAGAAGTACGGGATTCCTTCCTTCCAACCTCATTGATACTGGACATCTGTGAAAAATAAAGAGCTTCATAGCTCATCGGGTTCCTCGAGTATAAATAACAAGACCATTCTGATTTAGACTCTTTGACGGAACGATATCCCCGTTTAATTATTGAAATTCTGGACGATGGCCAGCTATAGGCGACAATAACAATGGAGCGGGTAGCCAAAGGAGTATACGAATGTTGGGACATTACGTAGTCCGCCAGGGAGATGGAGCGATTAAATTAAACGAACCTCTAAGTGCTGCTATTAGCAGAGACAAAGACGAACCCGGCCTCCTGAGTTCAATACCCCCGGTCACATCAGCGGCAAGCATCAGTGACGAGAGATGTCTGTGATAACTGCACCGGTCGCGGGACCTCCCTTAGGTCGAGGCAGCCTTAAATAACTACCTGGTGCTGTGTGTACACATTAGCAATTCACGCGGGAGGCCAAGGAGGCCGGGCGTGGTGCTGACCATATCCCCCCCCCCCACTTTCTCCGTCTCGAGCTTAATGGGTGCTCGCTAACAGGACTTGTTCCGACAGCTATATGCTGTCGGAACAAGTCCTGGCTGTAGCGGTGGAGAGGTGGAGGCGGTGGTGGTTGTAGCGGTGGAGAGGTGCATGGTAGTGGTAGCGGTGGAGGCGGTTGTGGTGGTGGTGATGGTGGAGTTGGTGGCAGTTGTGGCGGTGGTGATGGTGGATGCGGTGGTGGTGGTAGAGGTGGCGGTGGTGGTGAAAGAGATTGTGGTGGTGGCGTTGGTGGAGGAGGTGGTGGTGGTGACGGTGGAAGAGAAGGAGGAGGAGGTGACGGTGACAGTCACAAAGCGTGAGTCGTGGAGGCTTGAGGAGTTTTTATTATAAATCAGAGCCTGCGAGCCGAGAGGCTGGAGCTAGCGGAGGGGAGGGAGGGTGTTACCGCCTCTCCTCCTCCTACTCCACCTCGCGCAGAGAGCCCAGTGCGTGCGTTGCGTGCGTTTGTGATTCCTCGACAAGGAGACGTCGGAGTTTCAAGGCTTTTCACGTCTGCGGCGAGGCGAGTTTCGAATTCCCTCGGCGCGTTAAAGCGAGACGAGTGTCGCGTTTTATCCGCGCGCGGCGATGATTGGTTGAACGATTGACGGCGAGCGACGTTTCGTTGAAATTGTTCTTCTGCGTCGGTGATGGACGGCACACGCTGAGATGATGCGACCGAACGGTCATCAGTGGCGGTGAACATTTTACTTGTCCGGGTCAACTCGTTCGAGAGTTTTAACACTTGTGGGCAAGTGCTCGAGTTAGGTATGTTTGCACGGCGTTATAATTGTTATTATTTGTAAGTTTATTACTGGGGAAGCGTCATGTACTACGGCTGTATGGTACAAGGGATCGTTTTATCAAATGGACACACACAGCGCAAACATTTATCGTATTCTCCGGAGTATAAGACGCACCCCCCCCCCCCCATGTTTTTTAAGTAAAAAGTTTGGTCGGGGGGGGGGGCGTCTTATAATCCGGTACACGTGTGACATGACATGTCACACGTGGATCGGGCACGAAGTTGTGTTGCTCATCTTACTTTGCGGGAGCGTCTTATAACCCGGACTATACGTTAGTTACGTGACATTTTAACACCCTCAATATGCATATTACTGGAAATGTTCACGTAGAATTTGAGTAGACAGTACTCACTTGTATATGTGTGTAAAAAAATAATTTAACAACAAGTGCTTTTTAATGATCTGGTGCCAGTACGTGACGACGTGCAGTGTTTTAGCGAGTAAAATTAGAACGTTATAAAACAATGAAAATAATAAATTAAGCTACGTAGAGAGAGAGAGTTGAGTATACACATTGTAATACGATTTACCCCGCACCTCCGATTAGCACGGTTGGCTACGTACGGTGGGAAAGAAGTTCAGCACACATACGGCGATGGAGACAAATGAACGCTCACGCGCAGCCCTTTGCCAATCGACTGCCGGATTAAAGCTTCCCTGTGCCGTGTCGGTCATATGTGTGATTTGGCCATACTTCACCACGCTGATCAGTGTGGGTTGACGAAGGGGTCGATTCTGCGCTCGGCTAACATCAGTGGCGAAGAAGTAAACCGCCCCCCCCCCCCCACCTCCCCACACTAATCAAAGTGGTGAAGTATGGTCAATAAACCCTCCCCCGTAACCGTTACCTCGTCGGGAGGTATTCATCCAGCAGTGGATTGACAAACGGCTGTGAATTATTCCAAATGTATTATACTGCATGTACTATACTGTATATCATGCACAGAACAGTGTATGCAGTGTACGTAAAATATGTCTGTGCGTTTACCATCAGTGAAAAACGTACGCTTGTAACATTGTAATGATCTATAACGATATAATGCGTACTGTGTCTAATGTTGTAATGACATAAAGCCATGAAGTTGTGAAAAGTGACGGCAAAAGTGCAGCCCTGCAATTAACATAGAGGCCTCCACTACTAGAGAGAGGGCGCGCTTGACAGCCCCCCCCCCCCCCCCCCCCCAGAAGGGTAATTTGCCTACTCTTCCACGCTCTGTTAGACGTCTTGGAAGAGGTGGGAGTGACCCAGGCTTAGCCTCACCACACGGGACCCTCCGGGAGGATTTACAATAGAATGAGTAAGCAGGCAAAGCGCAGACGTTACTCCATATAATATGTGAGTTACAATACAATTGTACGTAACATAGCACAGCAACAGTTCAGCCCTGAAATGTCTCACGCCACTGCTGGACGGTGTAAGTACTCCGTTATTCGTACTCCGTTATTGTTGAGACATTGCAATCCACAATTGGCGCTCGTTTGCTAATTTATTTAGTTGGTTTGTGTACGTGCTGTCGCATGTTCATGCGTCTCTTTAAACTTTCCTCGTGTTCCCCTGACTTTCCCTTCCCCGCGCGGTTAAACTATTAAACTGTGTTGTGTGTGTTTAACCGGGTGAGAGCTCCTACCGTTTAGTACGCTTGGCTACGTACGGTGCGAAAGAAGTTCAACATACATACGCCGTAGGACATAGTAACCCTTGTACAAGAGTGAGCTGAGTGTCCAAATAACGACGGGCCACTGTTGTTGAGCGAACATTTTGTGGCCAGGTCGCTTCTAAAAAAACAAAATCAGTTCATACCTCGGTGAGCTTTGCCTGGTAGGATGGGGATGGTTTAGTGATGTATTTGTATGTGTTTGGGTGATTTGTTCACCTTTATTGTACTTTGCACGACTATCATTTCAGTTTAGTTTCAGTTTTATTTATTTGGAATAACCCTGCGAGCCATTCGGCTCTTGATTCGGGTGCATTTATAATTTACTGTACACAAATTGAGACATCCCCTACAAAAACTATAAAATATACCAGGAATGGCACCTTTTGTTTATGCTGCGTACGAAACTGTGCAAAACAAATCCCATTTTGATGTTAGATCACAATAACTATCATAATACAAATTAGATTAAAAATCTAAGTCTAACTCTATACTAAATAAAAAAAATCGGGCTAAACTAAACCTTTCTAGAAATTACTAAAACATTGCTATAATAACAATGTAACAGTAATCATTAAAAATGTGATTGAAAGTTAACAATAGCGACATACATAACATATATTACTAAACCTAGCATCCTTCGCTAGCTGCATGAGTCAATCCATAATCGCAGGAGTAACAATAGTAGTAGCAGCACACTATAATCAAAATACATGATAATTTATCATGTTGTGCTGTTTGTCGTTGTGACGTTCTTGTCCCGTGCCCCATACTGGACACGGTGAATAACCATTCTGATTCTAATTCTGAATAATGCCGTGGCATCACGGCCACCAACACTGGACTTAATCTAGAGGTCGTCGGTTCGATCTCCGGGCACGGCAGTTGAAACAATGGCACCAGTTTCTCATATGACCCCCCTCCCCCAACCGTGCCCCCACCTCTCTTCACCCAGCAGTACGAACGGGGGGTATAACGTGTGGTGGAGTAGAGTGTGCACACCCTGTCACCTGCGTGGAAGAGTAGGCCAAAAACACTCGACCTTCTGCAGAGCGGGCTCTTTAGAGCTGCCCGTTCGATCCGATCTCCAGGCGCGCGAATTGCAAGAGTCGGACAGTTTTTAGTTTTTTTAAATATCCCCTTCTGCGTCCAAGCAAGCAATCAAAACGGCTATTAACGGTAGGCACCACGGTAGGTGAGATGTTAACTACCTCGCCTGATGTGCAACGAGGTCGTCGGTTCCATCGCGACCCTGACGCCTGCTGTATAATTGTGAGTTTGCGTCTCTCTCTCTCTCTTCCCGTGGATTTTTCTCCGTCCTCCGCTTCCCCCCCCCTCCCTCCAGATTTTGTGAATCGAGCGTTTTTGAGTATTTGCCTCCCGTGCATTTCCACTTGATGACGATAAAGCCACTTTCGTTGAGCTGTATCATTTTGTGATGGCCAGAGTCGCTTCTGAAAAAGAGCTACGGAGCTCAGTGGGGCTTTACCTGGTAAAGTAAAATAAAATGTTAACAAGTGGATTGCTGCGGGGTAAAGCGTGGGGTAACCAAACACAAATGAGCCTCTTCCAACAAAACGTCTCGCGTGGAAGTGTCGGCCACAGATCCCTTCCAGGAGTATGCTCTCTTTCGATATTAGAAGTGGTGGCGTGATCGAAGCAATTGAGCGAGCGTATAATTGCTATTACATTTAGCGGAAGGAAAATTGTAATGGGGGGGGGGGGGGGGTGGAAAGGTTAAGTCCACTCGTTCGCTGTGCGCGGCTTGAGTCACATTGGAGCTTAACAATGGAGTGGCGGTGTGGGGTGAGGGGGGTTGCGCATGCCGTGGATGTTCGCACTTAAAAATGGGTCGCCTTTGGAGGAGAGACGTGGATGCAGCGCTGTGCGGCATTCCATTCGGGCTTTTGCTTTTACAAAACTAAACTGCCCATCAATGCGACATTGGAGCACAACAACGGCCTTGCATTCCTTCGGGGGTTGGGTGGGTGGGGGGGCGGCGAACTGATGTGTTTGGTCGAAATAACAATTCAGCAGCGTTTTCACTCAACGCAGACGAAATGCGGGCTCCTAATAATTCGCATTACTTGAACGGTCTCCATCTGGCGACAGCAGCAGCCACGGCCAAATCCACCGCTGGATGAAGGCCTCTTCAAGCAGTCGCCATCTCTCACGATTCCGCGCACGCAAACAAATTGCACGTGTAGCGAGCACCCTGCACACGAGCCGATTTTTAATCGCTCCATCTCCGCAGTGCACGCGTCCTCGGATGCATTCCATTCCGTTCCTTGGCTGCCACCCCACAGATATTCTTTGACAATCAGCCACCAAGCTCTCGAGATGTGAACTACCTCGCTTGGTATGCAGGAAGTCGTGGGCCCGATCCCGACCCTGACGCCTGCGTATGTGTAGTTTGTGTGTTCTCCCCCATGGTCGAGTGGATTTCTGCTCCAGATTTGCCCTCTGGGGTTTTCCCCCTCCTCATTTCGAATCGATATGTGTTTAGAGTTTTTGGTTGCTGCCAATTTCCGCGCGATGGGCCACTTTGTTGAGCTATCATTTGTGATAGCCAGGTCGCGTCTGAAATGAGCTGTATAGCTCAGTGGGCCTTACCTGGTGAAATGAAATAAAAATAAATATTTTTAGTTTAGTTTTCCTGCCCAAGCCCGCATAATTCTCTTAACAGTTTAAATGGCACCGCTAGCCTGCGAGCGTTCTCTAATCCTCATCCTGTTCCTCGAATTAAAAGCATCGCCTCTGAGAAACAAAAATAACTATTGTTTACATTTGATATTAAACTGCAGTATTAGGCTTGCAGCGATTTCCCCTCTCTTAGTAGAATACAAAATAGTAATAATTATATAAGCACATCGTTGATCTACAGCCCTTTCATATTCTTAGTTCTTTCGGTAAAGTCACGTTGAAGGGAAACAATAAAATAATAAAATATATAGAACAATAAAAAACATTCTCACGACGTTTCGACCATAACACAAACGGTCGTCATCAGGTGTGTCGGTTTGCGTAAAAAAATGTATGCAAAAATTCCCTTCAACGTGACTTTACCGAAAAAACTAAGAATATGAATTACTGCAGTCACGAAAGCTTTAAATCAAAATTCTACAGCACTTTGTCAATCTACTTTGATGGATGAAGACCTCCCATCGCCGTGTCGGTCATGGGGGCTATTTTGAGTTGTTTGACCATACTTCACCGCGCTGGTCAGCGTAGTGCGGAGGTGGGGGGGGGTTAACGTACCAGTTCACATATCACTCACCACAAATGTTCTTTCCCCGTGACCGGCAAT